ATTTGTATGAAATCTGGACTCCACACTTATTAAGACAAACGACTGAGAAAGAATAATATATATATATATGTGTAGGTGTTCATATTATTACAAATTCAGTAATTAAGTTGTTTCAGAAATCTACATATTAAAACAGTCTTCATGTGACTTACAAAACGAGTTACTTGACTAGTATGATTTCAAATTCATGTGCGTTGCTACATATTGCATGTTATAATTGCTTTTAGCATGCTATGAATATTTAAATGTATCGGGCCATGTTATATGTGCACGAAAACAATTTGTAGCATGTGTGTGGGAACACAAATGAGATGTTAGTTCACTTTCAGAAGAGGGACGTAAGTCACAATTTCAGTAAAGTGCAATATACGTCACAAGGGCCTTGTACCGATCCAAGTATCAGTGTATTATCAGGTGTTGCACAACATACATAATTGTTATAGAATTCTTAGCTCAACATATCTGTTATATGTGCATCAATGTTTCAATAGTTATATTTACATATCATGTTTTACAAAAATGTTGCAAATGCATTATATATGTATTGTATGTATAGTTGTAGCATGATTTCAGTAACATTCAACTTCGTGTGTTTAATATCTGATTATGCAAATCATAAATTCATTAAGCTTATATAGCTTATTAGTGTCATTATATCTCACAAAAATGGCAAGTGGGCGATAACAGGGATAAGGGGAAGGCCTAATTGAACTGCAGGCAATATTTTCATGTTTGTAATCATGTTTTAGTTGGATATGCGACAAACTGGTGGAGTATCAGACATTTGTGTTTGTTTATTCAAGACTTCTACAGTATAAGGTGGTTTTTAGTTTTTGAATATTGGAAAGATTGTAAGACGTTTCAATACTTATCGTTGAAGTTTCATTAATATTCAGATCATTTGAATGATTTGCAAGCAACAACACCTTCAAAATCAGATCGAAAGTGTTGCAATCAACTACACAACACAAGTCTATATTTCAAATGTTGTTTTGTTATTAGTTTTTCTTGTTTTAAGTTTACCTGTACTCGACATTAATTTTTTTATTTTTAAAAATCACTTAAATTTTATAAAATGATGTGAATAAAACATTAAATTTCATATTTAATTGAAATTTAAAGGTTGCAAACCTTGATTCATCACACACACATAATCCAATGGTGTAAACACTCATTAAAATAAGCATCAAGATCCCATCCCCTCCAACTCCCAACAAATCCCACCCACATTTCAAATCCCCAAATGAAGAACTCCAACACAAATTGTAAATTCAAGGAAGGGCCTCCGAATTTCATGGCCTCATTAGTCATTTTACAATCAAAGAACCCTAAAAATTAGTGATTTTTTTGTAATTATCAAAAGTGGGAAGCCATTAATGAGGTGAATTAGTTGTAATCTCTTTGGTGGAGATAGATAAGAACAACTCAGACGGATAAAACCATATCCTCTTCCAAATGAAGTCAATTTTACATGCATTATAACCCTTGATTAAACTTCCCTGTTCACTTTGACAATCTGTAAAATCGCCATTAGCATTCAAGATCCTTCCAACTCAATTCGTCTCTTATAGTCTACTCTCTCTCTCTCTCTCTCTCTCATCGGTCATCGCCCATTTCTTCAATCAATCTCAATAGCTGTAGAACCAAGAAAACCCACAAAAGTAGACAATCAATCTCTCCAAGAAACCAGAAGATTCCCACATAAAACAAACAGCGAAAATAAAGTGGGAGGAAGAGCATCACAAACACAAAGAACCCCTTTCCTTTGTTCTTTCTTTATCTTTATCTTTTTATCTTTAATCTTTGATCTTCTTCATCGAATTGCAGAGCAGCAGCACCAATTTCTTTGATAAGAGAGTGAATCATTCTTCATCCCCTCGAGTTTCTTTGAGAAAACAAAACTGGATGCTGCTGCTTCAACCCTAATCACATTCCAAGAACATCAGGCAAGGATAAGAGTTGGGTGTTTTCCGTTTTTAAGATTTTCTTGATGACTATGAATAATATCCCATCGGCACCTGGGAAATTCAAGATGGATAAATCCCCCTACATTCATAGATTCAGATGGCAGTATTCATCTCTAGCAAAACTCACATTTTGGAGCTTTGTTTTCTTGGGATTGATCGTGGTTTTCTTCTTCAAATCACCATCCACATCACCACCAAACTCAATGCCATCAGATCTCTCTCGCAGATCTTTAAAAACCAGTTCTTGGGGCGGACCCGCTTGGGAAAAACGGGTCAGATCATCTGCCCGGATCCGTTCCAGTAATGGGTTATCAGTCTTGGTAACCGGAGCAGCCGGGTTCGTCGGTACCCACGTCAGCGCCGCCTTGAAACGCCGTGGAGATGGTGTTTTAGGTCTTGATAACTTCAACGACTATTACGACCCATCATTAAAGAGAGCTCGCCAAGCTTTACTTGAAAGGAGTGGCATTTACATCGTGGAAGGAGATATAAACGACGTCACATTGCTTAAGAAACTCTTTGAGGTAGCCCCTTTTACTCATGTAATGCATTTAGCTGCTCAAGCTGGTGTTAGATACGCCATGGAAAACCCAAGTTCTTATGTTCATAGTAATATTGCTGGCTTTGTTTCTCTTCTTGAAGTCTGTAAGAATGCCAATCCACAGCCTGCTATAATCTGGGCATCATCTAGTTCTGTTTATGGATTAAATACCAAAGTACCCTTTTCAGAAAAAGATCGAACCGATCAACCTGCAAGCTTATATGCAGCCACTAAAAAGGCTGGTGAAGAGATTGCACACACTTATAATCATATATATGGTTTATCTTTAACTGGTTTAAGGTTCTTTACTGTTTATGGACCTTGGGGAAGGCCAGACATGGCTTATTTCTTTTTCACAAGAGATATCTTGAAAGGGAAATCGATTCCGATCTTTGAAGCTGCAAATCATGGAACTGTGGCTCGTGATTTTACGTACATTGATGATATTGTAAAGGGTTGTTTGGGTGCTTTAGATACTGCTGAAAAGAGTACAGGAAGTGGTGGGAAGAAGAAAGGGTCTGCACAATTGAGGGTTTTTAATTTGGGGAACACTTCGCCGGTTCCTGTTTCAGAACTTGTGAGCATTTTGGAGAGGCTGCTGAAAGTGAAGGCGAAAAGGAAGGTGATGAAGTTGCCTAGAAACGGCGATGTTCAGTTTACACATGCGAATATTAGTTTTGCACAGAGGGAGTTTGGTTATAAGCCAACAACGGATCTTCAAACGGGATTGAAGAAATTCACGAGGTGGTATGTTGGTTACTATGGTTCGGGGAAGAAAGGCGACCATTGAATGGATGAAAGATTCGAACTTGAGGTCTCATATGGTAACATTATTCTCAAATTCTTGTTAATTTTGGTATTCACATTATTGTTTCTGTTCATCTTCTGCATGATCTTTGTTCTCATATATCGTAAAAAAAAGAAAGAAATCGTACAAACGATGAGGAATCGGTTTTTGTGATTTGTACCAAAAGAACTTAAGAACATGTTTGTTTTTTTATTTCTACTTGTGGGAATGTAATTGTTATAGTTTCGTTATTGATAGAAGAACAGATTTTCGTTATTTGGTGTATCATTTTATGAAATTCAAATAAATAGAAGACAATGTTTTAAATGTTCGTCTGATGACTTGATTCAAGTTTGATTTCGTGTGGGATTTATTGGGTTCGTTTCTTTCTTCTCCTGCATTTGGACCTACGTTCTTAAAATTCAACTTAAAAGCATGACGGTTTTGGGTGTTACGAGTTTCTTGATTCGAGTTCGTTGTGTATGTGTTGTTGATGATGCATATAAAGGGTCTTTGGTTATCTTGGATGCCTTAAGTTTAGTGGTTTTGCTTGTTTTGATGATGCAAGTAAATGTAGTTTTGAATCTAGAAAACATAAAGAAGTTTGGTGTTTGGTTTAGATGGGGTATGAGTTGCTGATTCTAGTTTCTTGACTCTTTCTCTTTTGGTGAAATCATTTGACTTAAAGATGTGTAAGTTTCTTGCATTTTGGATCTGCTTTGGCTTTAAATAGAGGTTTTCATTTTGGGATAAGTTTCAAAAACCACAAGGGTGGTGTCTTATTGGTTTGAGCTTAACTCCAAAGGTTAAAAGTATCAGATGGTCTCAGGCTCAAATCCAAGGAGGTATAAAAATCCCCTTTGTGGTCATAGAGGTTCAAATACGGTGACTCCGAGCTATCTGCAAAACAAGTGGTCGTCCTTGAATTAATTGGCTCGCATAGCAGGTTGGATAAAGAGTGCATAGACTAATTAGGTAGAGAAAGATTGGTGGTGATGGTGTTACAAAAAGATGGAAGTGAGCAAGTAAAGATATATAGCAAGTAGTGATATATTAATGAAGTATATGCCAATTGTATCGTTAGGGGCCGTTTATTATAAGCATCTTCGTTTATTTTTACTGTGAACATGCTCATTTGTAAAACTAAAACATGTAATCCAATGTGAATCACTCGTTTGAAATATTTAAGAATATTTCTTAAATAAGTTAAAAGAGTAATATAGTAACTCTATTTTTGACAACTATTTAAAATATTTAATTAATTTTTTTAGAAGGAAATATTTAATTAAAATTAGTTATCAAATATATCAATTACCTAATATACATCGTATTTTAAAGATGTTTGTGAATCAAATTGTATTATAGTGAAAACGTTCACAATGTTTCACGTGTATCCTAATGTATTTTCTTTGTTTTATGAAATATATCATAGTGTGCATTTTCGTTATTTTCATTGCTTTACAAAGGGTATCAAATTGTGCATCTTATATGTATATCTAGGTATCATAGTAAATATTGTTTATAGATATTACAGTGTGTATCTTGTGTTCACATAAGGTTCATCGGGACAAGGTTTCGCCGAATAAGATTCGTCGAAAAGAGAAAAGATGAGAGATGAGAGAAGATATTTATAAAATCCTTAAAATGCCCTTAATTAATATTTTAAGTTGAAATTACTAAAATTTTTAATTTCCTAATGGGAAAATTGCACCAAAATGGAACCAACCTTCACCTAATTCCTATTTTGGGGAACCAACTTTCAAAATCGTCATTTTGGAGAACCAACTTGCACCTGGTTCCTATTTTGGGAACCAACTTTCACAATCGTCATTTTGGGGAACCAACTTTCACAATCGTCATTTTGGGGAACCAACTTGCACTTGATTCCTATTTTGGGGAATCAACTTGCAAAATAATTATAGAAAAATAACTAAAATTCGTTTTTTTCCAAAAATTAATGCAATAAAATCTATTTTTCATTTCAAATCTCGTTTTGTTAATTCAGATATCAAATTGAACATTTTTTAAAAAAAAATTCAAATTATCACAATAAAAATTATTTTTTACTAATGCAAAAAAAAAATCAATTTAAACAACTTGTGAATAATAGTTTCTTCATTATGAACACATTCAAGAGCGATCATTTGTCAAATGGAGTTTTATACATACACTGCATCCACACAGTTTAAGGTTCATATTACGGTATCTCCTCTCGTTAGACTGAAGAGCCATAGAATCAAAATAATTTTTATTTGGTATTATCTCCCTACTACATACAAACCATCTTGTTTGTATGTCTCCGTTCTTGTGTATTTTTTTTGGCATGAAGACGAACATCAAACCCGGCATTGTCCGTGTACGTCCTGTATATCTTTTCCGCTTCATTTATAGATACGAATTGTGCGTTGATTTTTGGTTTAAGCTCGTCATCAACATTATGGATAAAATACTTGCTTCCATTTGAACACTCTCCGATATCGTACTCTGTTTCATATTCGAAGGGTATAAGTATGTGAACACCTGTTGATACCATCATAGTTAGTAAAATCAATGAACATTAATATTACATAACTGGAGTAATCAACTGCAACAACCAGAAAATATATTTATTAAGTGCGAGTTAGAGCAATCATTAATGACTATGAGATGATTAATGTGAACATATATGAACATGAACAGCAGGTGAGATCTAGGGGTGAGCAGCGGGACCGGGTACCCACATGCGGAACCAGAACGACCTTGGAACCGCCGGTTCCGGAACCGGAAACGATATGAGTGGTTCTAGTTCCGGTTCTTAAAATACGGAACCGATTGAGAATGGTTCCGGTTCCGGTTTTCAATTTTCGGAACCTTTACCCGCCGGGTGCCCGCCAGAACCGGTTCCGGGACCGGGTTCCCGAAACCGGCGGGTATCCGGTATTTTTCAATAAAAAATAATTAATTTTCTTTTAATACTAAATTTAAATTAGGGAACTTAGAACTCTAGATTAGATTTTTGGTCCCGCCTCTACACCTCATCGACTCATACTCTCGGGCATGTGGCCTCTCACCGTGAGAATTTGAAACGAGATTCAGAATCATCGCAGTCACGAGATAAAATGATTCGTAGTTTTTCAAATTGTGTGTTTAATTGGATTCGTAGTACGTAATCGTTAAACTTTGAACATTTATAATTATAATATGTAATCATTAAATTTTCAACATTTCCTATTAGTCTATAATCTATTATGGTTTGTAATCGTTAAACAATATTTGTAACCATTATTTCGTATAATTTGTATTATTGTTTATTTATTTAGTGTTTTGGCAATGTTTTATTTTTTATTTCTAAATAACAAAATTTTAATGTTTTAGGAAGTGGGTACCTAGAACCGGTTCCTAACGGTTCCAGTTCCAATATCTCAAGAGCCGTCGGTTCTGGTTCCTATCAAATAGGACGGGTACCGGCCTATGCTCACCCCTAGTAAGATCTATTTGGTTCAAGTTCACAAGCTGTTCATAGACTATAATAATTGACACAAACATATATGAACAAATTGTGTATAGATTTATTTGGTGCAAGTTAGATCAATCACTAATGACCATGAGATGAGTGATATGAACATATATGAACAACATGTGAGATCTATTTGGTTCGAGTTCACAAGCTGGTCATAGACAGAAATAATTGACATGAACATATATGAACATGATCAAGCCACATATGAAGAGAACATCGTATGTTCATATATGAACACATAACCCCCATACAATGAACACAGGGTGCAATAACTTACACAATTTGACATATATGAACACCAGATGCAAGAACGGTGCTTATATAAAGATTTGGGAGCAAATTTTAACCAACGACTCGGTAAGTTAACTTAAACATATATGAACAACATGTGAGATCACTAACGAAAATCGATATTCATATGATGGGGGTCATAAACATGAAAGTATACAACTGTGAACATGATCAAACCACATAGGAAGAGAATGTCGTAGAAAATATATGAACACATAACCCTCATCATATGAACACAAGGTCAATCACTTACAAAAATTGACATATATGAACACTAAGTGCAAACATTTACACAAATATAAAGATTTGGGATCAAGCTTCAAAAATGACATTTGTATTCATATGACACAAAAATTTCGTTCATGAAGTGTTATATATACTCAAATGAGAGTAGTAACATGAACACAATGATTCATGATTCATAAAAGTCGGTTATATGATCATATGAAAATGGGTCGTGCATGAAATTCCATTTGAACATGTGAATTAGGTACATATCAATAATTAAAAAAAAACTACCAACACAATATGAACTACAAAAAACACAATCCATCATAATGAACATAATTTCGATTAAAACGAGTACAATAAAATATTAATCCATAACCAAGACATTCGTTTTGGTTATTTTCTTCACTTCCCGAACTCGAACTTCAATTGTCACCATAAACCATTTTAATCTTTTCAATGTTGTCGAGTTCTTTTCCAATGCATTTATCCATAATAGCTTAAACGATACCGAAGATTTTACTACCGTGTTTCCTCCACGAATCACAAACTCTTAAAACAATAAAAATGGAAGATCAATATATATATATATATATATATATATCAATATAAAAAATGCACATTTTTAAGGATTTTATGATTTTATAACTCTCAATTAATGATATGGGAGTTACATAAAAAATGAAATTACTCAACTACCCTTGGCATTAAATTTTAAGTTAGATAAAAACCTAATAGAAACATGGATTGTGATTGGTTGAAATAGTTTGTAAAGTTAACACAAAAACCGTGGTTAACATTTGATCTTACCTCTTTTCTCTCTCTCTCTCTCTCTCTCTCTCTCTCTCTCTATATATATATATATATAACCTTAATAAATAAGTAACTTTTGTGACATGTGTCATGTTTCTATGTGACGGTTATTGATTTTTCCCGCCTAAACATGTATCTAGACACAATTTTCATTTACGATTCAAATAGGTCTATTTAAGTGACAACTGTCCCTCTACACGTTTATTTTCCTATTTTCGTGGTGTAACTGAATTTAAGTCTGAATTTAACTCTGAAGTGGTCTCCAGACTTACAACATAACTCTAAAAAAATCCAGAGTTGTAAGTCTGAATTTAACTCTTAAGGTAAGTCTGAATTTAGCCCTGAAGTGGCCTCCAGACTTACAACATAACTCTGGAAAAATTCAGAGTTGTAAGTCTAAATTTAACTCTGGAGTGACCTCCAGATTTACAACATAACTCTGGTAAAATTCAGAGTTGTAAGTCTGAATTTAACTCTGAAGTGGCCTCCAGACTTACAAGATAACTCTGGAAAATTCAGAGTTGCAAGTCTGAATTTAACTCTGAATTTAACCCTGGAGTGGTCATCAAATTCGGGTTTAAATTTTCAAATTCGGATTTTTGAAGCATTTTTCACAAAGCAATATTACCTGGGCAAGGGGCTGCTTGGACCCCGCCACTAGGGGCGCTGCCCCCAGACCCCCATCGTTTTGGGGCTTCGCCCCTAAATCGAAATAAACTCAAACAAGTGTGCACTCCGCACCTTCCTTACCTGTTCGATATTTATCATGATTACATTGGTCACCAATTTAATCTCATTACACTTAAATGATAATAGTGATACAAATCATCTACATGAAGTCATCAGATATTGATTATTTCTCAGACTTACAAACATAACTCTAAATTCTTCTGTTCCAAACTTAGTTTAAATAGTTTATTCCCAGACTTAGAATACAACTCTGAACTCCTCTTCAGAGTTGAAGTTCAGAGTTACGTTTCTGAGTTATAAGAAGTCAGAATTCTTGTGACTCAGAGTTATGCTCGTAGATACTTTCTAGACTTAGAAGACAACTCTGAATTCCTTTTATTCAGAGTTAAGTCCAGAGTTATTTTTCAATCTAACAATAGAACTCTGAATTCTTGTGTTTCAGAGTTAATGTCCAGAGTTTTTCTCATTCAAAATACCCCATGTAATACACGTGGTCGAACCTAGTGTATGTATATATATAAGGGTGGTTTAATTTGCAACCTAAGTAAATCTTACAACCCTAGAATGAGTGAAAAGTTGCTTACGCAGAAAACAAAACATGTCAGAAAAGAGTACTTTATTTAGCAAAAATACCAAGTAGATGTTTACAATGCTTTGAGGTTTTGATTCTTTTGGGATAACAAACCTATTCCAAAACAATAGTGATCAACAACATACAAAATATACATCCATCACATGTCAGATCAACCAAATTAAAATTTTAAAAAGTTCCTTTATTAGGTGTATAAGTACACAAAAAATCAAATTTATTTACTCTGAGAATGCAAAACAAGTCAAAACCAATATCAAGAAAATATTCAAATCCAACTGAGTACCCAGAAATCCGTGTTGAAAGAGATTAAAAAACACAACGAAACATAAATCAACACACACATAAATTGGAGAGTACCTCGTCCAAAGATGAATTTGAAGACCTAGATACATAGTGAGCAGAGATAGAGAAGCGAATTAGCAAAAATCTTCAAAAAAGGGTTAATGTTGATCACAAAAGCCGATTAGTTCCTAGTATGCCAACAACATTTTATCAATAAATAGAAAACTAGAAAACTTAAGGGGCAAAAATCAGGGCAAAGGAGTAGGATAAAAACAGACTTTGCGGGAGAAATTGCCTGTCACAAGGAGATTTCAAATCATGCTATTCATCTTCTCTCTAAAACCTTGAGATGAGACATACATTGAACCAGAAGAATGAATTGTTCCTAGCTGTCAGAGAAAATGAAAATCATTAGAATACAAAATTGTTGATGGAAAACCACCTAGGAAAGGTCTTCAGACTATTAGGGTTTGAGGGTTTCTTTAGCAACAATCGGAGGGTGGATATTACCTTAACCGTGAAGATGGTGTTTGTAAAACAAGAAGAAGGAGATAGCAGAAGGATAAAGTGTGCCAAATCCTCTCGGGTATAAACCATATCTTCAAAACCCAAAATCGCCTTATGTGGAAAGAACTCGAGAGGCATGAGTGTTTGCCTGTCGTTGTTGGCTTGTTCTTGATCGATGAAATTGAGAGGCATGCGATGGTGAGAGAAATTAGGCCGGACGTGGAGAGAGGGAGAGAAATCAGGTCAGGACGTGACAAGATAATTCAAGGGCGTGTAGAGAGAGTTCAGGATATAGTGCCCTAGAACATGTATATTGCTTAAAATAAGTTGTACCTCTTAAAATTCAATATGCAATTGTTTTAATTGCTTATATATAGTATAGATATAGATAGATAGATAAAGCTATAAAATTTAAATTGAACACGTAAATGATATAAAACAAATTAATTTGTAGGTATTCATGATATTTAATAGCTTAATTAAATCCAAAAATATTCAATATTATGCTCATGTTGAAGGTATTGACGAGACGATTCTAATGGTATAATTTGTAAAAAAAATAAATGTATTTTTTCATGCATTTTAGTTTATATACGAATTTTATGTTAATATGGTAATGGTATCAAATGAAAAATGAAAAAGTAAAAGATATAAAGTAAATCAAATAACTAGCTATAATGATATAAAATGTAATTTAGAAATTAAAACATTAGATTTTTTACAAGACGTGGGAGTGGGAGTGGGAGCGGAGGTTGTAGAGCTTAAAAAATCATACATTATGCATGATATGTAATTCCTCTTAAAATTCAAGAAATAACCGAAAACTCCTTTTTTTTTTAATATAGTATAGATGTACTAATATGAATTATTTAAAAGTATGTTACCCAAAATAGAAATTTAGAAAAACATATTACTTTTTAATACAATTTACCCATTTTACATTGACGTTATATAATGTTTGAGATCACTAGCCTTTTAAATCTAACATTTTTTCTTCTTCTTATGGACATGTATATTAGGTCCTTACGAGTAACGGCATTAAGGGGCCATTTACCAAACACTTACCCGGTAAGCGTTTATGGGTAACATTTAACATTATCATTTACTTATCGGATAAGATTTTAGTCCACCAATACGACATCGTATGCAACAATTTACCCGGTAAGTGTTTACTGTGGTAAAATCGTCACCCACATTTACCAGGTAAGACTCTTGATACTTGTCTCGTTTTTACCGGATAAGATTCTTGGTCCTTATCATACTCATCCGGTAAGGTAATGTGACTTGATAAACGCTTACCCGGATAAACATTTGGTAAACGGCCTCTAACATTAGTTAAGAAAAATTAAGTGGTGTAATATCTAAATCCATAATATTTTGTTACTTAAAATCATAATTATAAGTTTTGTAATAATTGACAAAATTTATTTGAAAATATCAAAATGGGATTTTTTAAAATACTTATATTTAAAGAAAATAAATTTTAAAAATGAAATTATTTAGGTGGATAATAATATAGTCATTTAAACTCTCCCGCGCTTAAGCAACATACGTGGCCGTTTATGTGGGCCCTAATTTTCCACGTTGCCAGTACATGGTCCCACCAACAAATCGTAATTTCTGCCATTTTTGGACTTTATAAACTTCTTATAAACCCTAGTTAGGCCAGGGGTTTATACTTCGAAGAAATAGAAACGAAGGGGCTTTCTCAAACCCTAGCAATACAATACGAGATTCCAATCATGTCTTTCTGGGGTGAGGTTTGGATACTTTTCTTCAATTTTTGGTCTTCCAATATTTTTTGTCTTATAATTCTGATTGCATCATACGCATATCCATAGTCGAATCATAAGTTTACAGGACGAAATCTCTGCGTTCATGTTTTTTACATAGGTAATTTATTGATGTTCAAATCCATAATTGTTCGATTATGATACGTTAGGAATCGAAGTCAAACCTGGAAAGCCATATACGCATTCATCCCAAAATGGTAGAACACGCCTGCGAATCTCTCAGGTAAATGTGTTATATTGCATTGGAGGATTGTGGTGTGACTTTTGTCTGTATGATTATCGTTTCTTGGACTATGAAATGTCAAGAACCTTTTTAATTCGAGATGGAACGATGAATATTGAAAAATGAGAACCATAAGTACGACCATATATATTACTAAGACAGTCCAATGGTTTTTCTTGCCATTAAATTTGTTTGTGGAACTTTTTCAAAGGAAAAAGGAAACCTAGGGCTAATATACATTGAATATCTGGAAAAAGGTTGAAAAGAGTGGAGTGATCATATTGAAGATGGCAGGCTAACGGATTTTATTATTATTATTGTTGTAAGATATCATCTGTAAGTGATATGGCAATCTCATCTAGGTTAGGAACCAACCTCTCCATCTTTCTTTAACTAATTTGTGATAATATCCGATGGGTATCAACTAATCTAATTAGTTTGACTCTAAGTAACAAGAAGGCTGAGTGATTGGATCTGAATGCACCACAGGGTTATATAGATTCTTGAAATTATAAGATACTGCCAATCAATCTGGAATCAGATACCGCAGTTATTTTGTGTATTCATGGAAAACAATTCAGTAGTCAACAGAATACAAGAGCTTCATGGTTTGTTATGTGTAGGCAATAGCAACATTAAAAACACCCCTGTATATGGCAGCAACACAAGTCCCTGCTTGTCAGTCTTTGGATCAAGGCTTGTAATTATTGGTTTGATGTTTTGGTTGATCATTGTTTAAAGGCTTTGCTCAGTTAGAACTTAAAAGCTAGATTGCTTCAGATATAACTGTTGAATTTGTTTAAAGTTTTTGTTGTTGAATGCTGTTTACTGACATTTCTTTTTACATTTGACGCGTTATATTTTTGTTTGCATTTTAGGCGACATTGGCTAATGGATCTGCAACACTGAAGAGTTTGGTGCAATGCAACGTAGGAGATAAGCAACCTGTTCTTTTATGTGCACTGCTGCCTACTAAGACYGAGTCATTGCAWTTGGATTTGGAATTTGAGGAAGCYGAMGATGTGGTATTTTCTGTTATTGGTCCACGAGGTGTATACCTCACTGGATACTATGTTGGTCACAATCGACAATCAAATATACAAGATGAATCGTATCCTTTGTTCATTGAATGGATTGTTTTCATCATCTTTCACTTTTTTTTTATTAACCTGGATATCCAACCCGCTATGCGAGCCGACTAATCCTAGGGCGACCACCTGCTTTTGCAGATAGCTCGGAGTCACCGCATTTGAACCTCCGTGGCCACAAGGGGATTTTTATTTCTCCTTGGATTTGAACCTGAGACCTCTTGGTACTTTTGACCTTTGGAGCCAAGCTCAAACCAATCAGGCACCACCCTTGTGGTTATCTTTCACTTTTTTGTAATGACTTTGCATGGTTTTCATGCATCACATCATCCGAAAATCTCAGGTTGCCTTATCATCACTTTCTATGTTCCAAACAACTTAACCATTTGTCTGAAAGTTATTTTTCTTTTACCAGTCTCGTGTCCCATCTGGTGTATTCCATGGTAGTTTTTTTCACCCTTTATAAGATGAGGTAATGTTCTTTTTCCTTCACTATGATGGCAAAAGAGAATCATATGGAGAGGATATTGCAAATTCCGAGACACAAGAATCAAATCATAATAGTGATGAGGATGAATATGAGGACAGCTTTATCAATGATGATGAACCTGAACCTCTTACACCTTCGCCTGTTTCTAGTAGCAGAGGTATGCTAATGTTGTGTGCTTTTTTTCTTTTTATCGAGAATGTGTACTATTTCTTCTAGTTGATATGGTCAAATTTACAACAACAATTCAAACAATGGCTATTGCAGTTGGGGATTTTCTTCAATGCTCAGTGGCTTAATTTGTTTTACTTTTGAGTCAAAAATCTTAGGAAGTTTATGTCTCACTTCTCAAGTAAGTATTGTATAACCACCATAAGGCTTTGATATTTTGGCTAATGTTCTCCAAAGGATTGTAGCTTACTTTTCTAGCATTGTTCATCAGATAAAGATGCTTCAAGATATGGTCCATGAGGAGGATTTTTTTGCCATTAAACTCGATTAAGGGAGTTACTTGTTTATTATAATGCAATTGGTAACCATTTGTTAGAGTTGAAAGTATGTTAAACACGTTTGAGAGATCTAGTTTTCATGCATTTGTTACTTAATGAAAATTGATCATTAAGTTTTTTCTACTTCAAATGATTTTGATTTTCAATGAGCAGAGGATGATGATGGAGACTACCTGAAGAAGAAAGGAAATGGTAATGGCGGTCGTAAAAGGCTCAAAAAGAAGTATATGTCGATTGAATCGGATGATGAAACGAGTGTCCCAGAGATTAAAGACGAAGATGATTTCCCAATTTCATCCATATGCAAGAACAATAAGTCACAAGTATCAGAAGAAAAAACTGACAAAGAAACAAAAGGCGAGTTAGACAGAGTGACAAAAAACAACGGTCATATGTTAAAGTTGGATGGAGTGCATTCCGGGGTTCTTGATTCAAAGGATAAGGTCAATGTACATTTAATAGATGACAAAGCAAAAGAGTAAGTAGTTGGCTGATTGTTCTGCAAATTTAGTATATTGGTTCTTATTTCTCGCTTATGTTACCTTGATACTGATCAGAGTCACTATTATTGGTTTCTTCGTGCTGAGAATAGGCAACTAGCTGAACTGCCCAAAATTAGATTCGAGGTCAATCTTGTGTATTTAGGTTTGACTCAAAGTGGTTAATGGTGACCAAGGGTAAAGAGAAGCCCGTGTCTTTATTACGCATGTAACATCTCAAGTATCCTGTGGAATCACTTGTTATATACGTATATATTCAGATTCTAAAATCGAGAATTATTTTGTCATGATGTTCTATTCGTATAATTAATGTTAAGAATAACTGCATTCAGTTTCTGTACTAATAAGTTTATTGTGTAACAGAAAAGGGGATCAAACCAATATGTCTGTGCCGTCTTTGGCCGAAGTGGTGCCAGAAGGCAGATCAAAACCAAAAAAGAAAAAACAAGAGTCCACTAAAGAGGAAAGGGCAACTGGTCCCAGTTCTGTTGATCACCCGTCTGTACAAGTTCCATTAACTGAAGTGAAAACGAAGAAGAAAAAGAAAGAGAACACCAAGAAGGGGATTGCTGATAAAGCTGATGATGAAGGCCATGCTGGTCCCCTCGAAGATAATATGCATCAATCTAAGGTGGAATCCAATTCTATAAACCATGATGTGTTGGCTGCTAAAGATGATAAAAAACCCAATGATATGTAAGTTCAGTTTATTTTCTAAAACCATGATAAATTCGTATATACATCCTGGCCTTAAAAGTGTATACTAGAAAATGATCGTCTTTATGTTTGGTCCCTATTTGTGCAATCTTTGCATTTAATTATAAAGCAGGGGTGTTGACCGCTCATTTGAGGTTCTGGCTTCTGCTGAAGTTGTTCCTGAAAAGAATTCAAAACTGAAGAAAAAAAGAAAAGGACGTAGTGAAGTAAGCACTGATGGTACAGACGGCAACCTGCTTGCAGGAAATAAACAGGAGGATGATCAACAAGCAATTGATAAGTACGATGAAATTTCAAGTTTTCAACTTCTTTCTGACTTATATTTTCTTGATGCTGGTAAATATATAATCTATTGTTTCTTTGGAAACATAATGGTTGTAACTCTAATTTGTGTAGTTATCAAATGTGGGCCGACACAGGGCGTGGTAACTTTTACTTGTAGTTTAAAATAAGCCGCTGTAGAAGCCGATTTATTCTCGTCATTATTAGGATCAATAGTGTTATAGACTGTATTTGTGTAATTATTGAGACACTTTTTTTTTTCTGTTTATTACTTATTCTGATTATCTTTTGGATACTTAGTACCTTAATTCTAGGATCAGTTACTAGCTTATTATTATAACTTCAACTTTATTTAGGATAATCATTTACTGTGGACGACGATGAATGATATTGAGTATTTCTAACGTAATTGGTGATCAAACAATATTTACGTGAAGCATGGCAAAACAGTGGACTTACATAGTAAGTATTGCATCTTCTAGAGGACAAGCAATATTACCTGAAAGGTGCACAATCTTCTGTTTGTGAAATTGGCTTGGTGAATTTTAATAAGTTCAATCAATGGTCTTGCATAGGAGGCACTCTATTCTTCTTGGCCCTTCAAAACTTTCATTGGCAGACATCTGAATCTCTGAAGTGATGATTGCTTTGTTGTTTCAGAAGGATGTACTTATTACTTTGTGGAGTTGTTTCTCATAACTACATAAGTGAAGTTTTAAACTCAATATCATGCACATAAAGGCGGTAAGCAGAAAATTGTATGATTGCTTGGTCAATAAGGTATCCTGAACCTCTAGACTAGAGCCAATAACATGATGGAACTTCTGAATAATATTTTTTGAGATAGCAGTAATGTCTGAATATTAACCAAGTGTAATAAAAAATTAAGCTTGTAGATCAGTAAGCAAAGCCTCTACCCATTTTCTCTCTTATATTGAGAGGATTGAAACAGTCTCTTGCTATTTGAGACAAAAAGTCAAATTAGAATTTAGACTGTCATTGCCTTCTGTTCTCTCTAAAATTGTAGTTTAAAATTTCATAGATTCAACATGCTTATGAGAGATAAAAAAAGAGGAGCCGTAAAAGTAACCTTTTTTGTGAAGTACAGATTTAATTTATGAAATCTATGTAAAAGAGCTAAAAGAAAGATCCAAAATAATTCCTTGACCTTGAGAGAAGGCTAAATACAGTTTTTGTTTTTTTAGATGGCTTCTCTTGATGGTGGTAATTTGCATAACTTTTGCGAAGTTTGCAGTTGCAGGAACATCAAACATTATTTTTGATGAAGAAAATTGTATTCAGGCTCTATCAATGACTGTTTGATTGTCTTGACTGAACAATTATTTTGTATTTCTCTTGGAAAGAATTTTTGGTAGTACCAGTGGTTATATTTTCTTCTTTAATTGTTCTAACAGTTTGATGATTCGTCACTATTAATTACATTTACTCGTCTTTTTGTAAGATTTGAAGTGTTTCTTGGTAGTACTAGTGGCTCCCTGGGGCTTGTTTCACTTTTTTCTGGAGATGGAATTTTGATCTGAGGTTTCCTTAGGTTTTATTATATTTTATCTATTACGGCCCATCTATTCTATAAAATGGTTGGGACTTTTCACCCAGTATTACACAATAAATTCAATCCATGGCTTTATCATTGTATTATTTATGTAATGTTTCTTGTCTATAATACACAATGAATTTGAATGCTAGTTTAAAAACATCTGTCTTTTACATGCAGGGGTTCTGGTATTGATTCCAAGCAGTTACCTAATGGAATTCAGTCAGAGGAGAAGAGAGTTAAAAAGAAAAGGAGAAAGACGAGTAAAACACAAGAGGTTGAGGAGAACATAAATATGGAGGTTGAAAAAGAAAATGAACCTTCTGCTACACAACCTGAAGGGAAGGATAAGGAATCCGAGTCCTGTAACAAAAAGATACTATCAAATGGGCTTGTTATTGAAGACCTCGTGACAGGAAAATCTAAAGGAAAAGTGGCTGCTTTAGGGAGAAAGGCAAGTCGTCTCCTTTCTTTTTGCACGCTTTGCACAAGCTGGGGGTCTTCACGGAATCAGTTGCTCTATTCTTTGGGGTAGAAATCAAGTCGGCATACATCCTTCCCCTCTTACGGGGGCGGGGACCCCACCTCTGGGTGAGACATACTGGGCTTGTTTGGTATGATTTTTAAAGCACTTCAATCATTGTGTACCCTTTATTTGCTTCAGGTCAAAGTACAATATGTTGTCAAGTTGAAAGAGAACGGACAAGTGATTGATTCAAATGGCAAGTCTCCCCATAAATTTCGACTAGGTACTCTTGTGACCATGAACTCTTTATTTGATCTTATTGTTGCTACTTAAGCTTGAGGCTTTTGTTCTATATTCTATACCATGAACTCTTTATTTGATCTTACATGTATGTTATATGCATTATGCAGGTGATAAGGAAGTTATGGTGGGGCTGAATGTTGGTGTAGATGGTATTAGTCAACAACTCATTAATGGTTTATGTTTCCTCGGTCGTATGAAAATTGCAACGTTTGTTTTGACATTAGTTCATCAAATATGTAAAATACCCAAGTAATTTTCTACATAATATTTTGGATAACCGTGGGTGTCCGGGCATGCACCTTGACTAATCCCTTGAGGCCCTAAAGTTAACCATCACACAACCTTTAGTGGCCCTGAGGAGTAGCAAATCAAATGTGTTATCAGTTGAGCCAGCCCCAAGGGTTTAACAAAAAAGAAACTGTTGCATTTTTTTGTGTGGCAGATGAAGTTCCAAATAGAAGATTGATTTTGCACATTACCTTTGTATGTACTAATTTTCAGGTATGCGAGTTGGAGATAAAAGAAGACTCATCATTCCACCGTCAATGAGGTATGCAAGTGATTTAGTTGTCGTTTTTCTTAGATACCGTTCTCTTTTTCTTACATGACTAACGATGCATATATGATTGTTGGTAGCTCCGGGTATAAAGGAACCGGTGAGAATGTACCCCCAAATTCGTGGCTGGTATATGATGTAGAAGTGACTAGCATCCATTGATCGTTCTTTATATACTTACGTTGAATGCATATATAAGTTAAGAAGAATACGAAAGAGTTTGTGATGGATGTGGATCAAAAAAGTTTTGTTCGTTGTATTGTTTCTGGGTCGATCAATTATTAGTTCTTTGTAAAAATGAGTTGAGAAACATCCGTACGGGAGTTTTTGTTACGGTTTGCAGTAATTCTGGACTTAAATGGTAATGAAATGAATGTTCTGAACAAAACTCAATTCCCTTCAGATGGTAGTTCATGTTTGTGCTGGTGAGTTCTATTATCTTAGCAAGTTGTTTTTTTTCTTCTTTAAAGTTTTTAACTCTTGTTATATTACTTGGATCAAAATTTCTTGATCTGCTAAGTGGCACTAATGGAGGTCATGCAAGCATTTATTGGGTATTAGGTGAGCGCCTATAGGGTGTGTTTGCTACGGGGACTGGGTGAGATTGTGAGACGGAACGAGACAAAAATAAATAGTCTCATGTTTGGTGTGTCATGGGACAAAAATGAGACAAAAGTAAGATTGGGTGAGATTATTCTTGAGTTTTTTTGTTCCATTAAAAAAGATAGAACAACATGGAACTAAATTTGAGATTACAATATTACCCTTATTATTTGATATCAAAATACAAACCTAATTTAATTGCATCCTCTTTCTTCTCTTCCACAACCTCCATTCTCGATTCCGGCCTCCATTCTTGAAATGTTGAACTTTTGACGATGACGTGACAAACGTTATTTACAATTGTTGTGTTTAAACTTTTTAAATTATGTATGTATTTAAAATTTATGGTATGACAAATGTTATTTACATGTGGTCTTGGAATGTTAAAAAAAAGTATTGATATCATAAATTAAATAATTTAAATATATTTTTGGTTGATTTGTTGTTATTTACGATCATTATATGATATAAAATAACATTAAACAACATTTAGAGGTAATATGATTATTTTAATAGTCTTGTCCTGTCCAGTTCTAGTTGTACCAAACATAGACAGACATTTAGTCTTGATCATCCTGTCCCGTTCTGTTCTGTCTCATCCAATCTGCATAGCAAACATTACCTTACAAAACAAACCAAGTCTTTACATACATAAAAGGAACAACCGAGGTGTCATCGAGTATTTTTGAATGGTACATTATGACCGAGTTTGAATTGTTCAGATAAAACAAACAAATAATTGACATTTTTTTATTGATATTTAAATATAGGCATCGACATAAATCTGTTAATGTTAATATTTTGTGGATTTAACATAAATTGTGGTCATATGATGTACAAGTTTGTAATGTGTATTAGAGTATAAGTAAGTAATGTACGGTGGATTTAGTCGAGACTTAGGATCGTATGAGAATAAAAGTTAAGGTGAGAAGATCTCCATCCTTGATCATTTTTAATCTCATGCTCATCCATGAACTGTGCTTTAGAACGGTTGATCTGGTGCATCTCATTAGTGTTGATCTTCAATTATGATTGATCAAAATGTGAAACTTCTTACCCTTCTCACCGTAACTTGCATTCTCATCGGAACTCAATGCTTTAAGTTGATAATTATTTTGTATATGTTTCAGTCAGAATGAATGTATAACATGAGTCTCCCACTCTCAGTCAGATAGATTGAAAATATTTATTGGTCAATTCGATATAAATTTTGATGTGTATCAAATGAAAGCAACCGAAATGTTTACAATGAAAGTCAACATGGCAATATGAATATTGTAGAATCTTCCTTGATGCAACATGGATTTAGAGCCTACAAATTATGGTGCCATGATGAAGCTTATTTGGATTGTTTCCACTAATAATTTGTAGCTCAACTGGTAGGACTTATGGTTCACTCCCATCACCAATTGAAACCTCTCTAGGTCATATGAGTGCTTGTGAGATTGTTAACTTCATGAGGATTGTTTGTTTACCTCTTAATAGTTTCATTAATAGATAATTTTTAAATTTTGCTTGACAAAAAAATATGTCTCTTAATGGTTCTAAAACTTTCTGAATGATTTTATATCTTGGACCTCTCTTAGCCATTTAGCACCCTAATTTCATTGTAAACAATTACGAAACAATTATATTTCATTTTGCACTATATCATGAGAATCTCTTAATCATTCTGATCACTTGATCATCCAACACAAACTGGTTTGTAACTGCCAAATATCCCCTAGATGAGCTCAAGCTGACACGAAGATTCATGACTATAAAAAGAAGTGTTCTAAGTTACAAAATAAACAAGATTTTTATCAATCCCGAGTAATTATTGTTTTTTTTACATTTTTGAAAAACACAATATGAAATACAGTAATAATCTTAGGTACAAGTATGTGATGCTTGTGTGAAATAAGTCGAATTCCTAAGAACACCATGCCTTCATCTCCGGTTCACACACACCATCTACACCAGGACCGATCAACTCTGAAGCTCACAACAATGGCGTCCATTGGCATTATCATCACCAACTATCTATAGCTCCATTCATCACAAAACTAAGTCCGTGAGATCAAAACTAGAATCCATTGGTTCATATCTTCTTCATCTAAGAGCAGCAACTCCGACGATCAACAACAAGTAGCTCCTACATCAAGAATGCAGATGAGTTGTTCAATTAATTTATCTTGATGAAATGGGGTTGTTTGCAGGGAAATTATATTGAGGAGCGGCAAACTTGCAGTTCTTGGTGCCATTTTTCACTTCAGGTACCCTTTCTCTTTGTGGAGAACTATTCTTCTGCCATTCCATATGTTTAATTTGATTGAATTAGGTTTTCTCCATCATGTTTATCAATTGATTGCAAAACCATTGTAGTTGTGAAATGCTAAATACCTTCAGATTTTTCAATTTCGTAGAGATAAGGACCATGGATGACCATTTGGATGTAAGTTGAGAGTCTGCAAATCAGATTCACCCCATTATATGAGAGGGGCATCTTGTCCTCAGATGAACTACTTGCTACTTCTGGCATGTTTGAATTTAAGAATTAACCAATGAAAGAGCAAGACCTAATTGAGATGAGTTACTAGAGATTATTGACCAAGAAAATAGTATATGTGATGAGAAAAGAATGTCTATAGAGGCTTGATCGAATCAAGAGTTTTGTTGGTCATTTGAGTGAAATTGTCGGTTCATTTTATGTAATTGGATTCACCAGAGAATATGGGGTTGGAAGTTAAGCTACGTCAAAAGCTAGGGGGTGTGGAATGCATACTTCTATATACTAACTAGAACCTCTGATTGCTGGATATGGGAGGGGTCAAGGGAACATGCCCCCTACGGAGTCCTAGAAATCTCCAAGTGCTCGGGGAAAATAAGTTTTTGAATGTTCTAAGTGACATTCAGAAGCCTCTGAGTTACCTTCAGAAACCTCTGAGTTACCTTCAGAAACCTCCAAGTCTTGTTCAGAAGTCTCCGACTTTAAAGCCTTTTGATTCGTGTGCAGTTTTGGTAACCGCTATAAATTCAGCCACATATAAATTACTCTAGCAATCATTTTCATTTTATAGGGAGATATTCTCGGCATTAATTTAGGAACAACTACGATTCTCTAAGTTTAAAAGGAAACAATCTCTACCAAAATCGTTATTGAAAAATATGAGATGATCCTTAGTTGATTTTGTGATATCCTGGCAAATTAGGGTCAAGATACAGCTTAAGGAAAGCGAGCTCTTACAAGATCTCATGATTTTATCCAAGGTTTTTCTTAAGATCTCCGAGTTTTTTGATTTCCGGGCAGAGGACAGGTCTAAATACATTCCACCACCATATCCTACTTTCGATTTGGTTATAATTTCCTTAGAAGTAACAATTTAGAAACAAATTTTGAGTTTTCATGTGTTTGATGCAATGGAAATGAGCCCAATTACCTTGGTGTACAGAAGAATCCTCTTACTCTAGCTTTATGCCATGCAACAAACAATTGCATTTCGACTTCTGAGAATATCAGTGACAATGTCCACTATGCACCACCTTGGTAAGATATATTGATATATGTCTTCTTTTCCGCATTACAGTCCTTTTATTTTGGTTTGAGCTACAACGTTCAACTGTATGTTTTATTGAATTACACATTTGTAATCAACCATGTTATCATCCTTTGACTTTAGGTATCAATTGAATTACGCTCATTTCCCGAGGACATGACCTCAAATAGGAGATCATGAGAGGCAGAATTAGGGTAGCACTTTATGGGGAACTTGTAGCAAACATGGACCGGAGGAGGGATTTGGACAAGGTAGAGCGTGGTGGGGGGTGAGGTAGGCCGGTGGCATGTATAGAAGTCCTACATTAGATAGATGGTTGTTTTAGTTTTTTTTTCCCTACCTTTCATGTCTTGTTTATGTATATACATGTGGGATCTTTACATTATGTCAGTCTTAGGGTTGTTTGGTTGGTTTTCCATTAAGTATTATACAGATAAAACTGTCTATGTGGATTAATCTGCCTGTATACATTGAATTTTTTTTGTTTCTGTAACAACCTTAATTTTTCAGCCATATATATATATATATATATATATATATACACATATCTTTATCATAAATTTTTATAGAGTTAAGTTGTTTCTAAATGCCCTTAATATAAAAACGAAAAAGTAAATAACATATTTTATAAAAAAAATTAAAGTAAATTAATAAATAAGTAAACAAGCATACAAGTAGCTTAGAAAGCTACTTACCGATAAGCACATAAGTAGCTTACTAAGCTACTTAAAGACAAACAACATGAGCCACACAAATCTTATGACAAAACATGCCTAGAGAATGAGTTGTAAGAGAAAAGAAATTTGTGGCAACCTTAAAACATTACAAGGCAAGACTAGAATGAACAAGTACATATGTGACATATCCTTAGAAATTTACTAGTTGAAAAGTTACTTGAACATAGAGATGGCCAAATGGGCCCGGCCCGGCCCGGGACCGCCGGAGGACCGGGACCGGGATCGACGAAGGATCGGCCCGGGACCGGGACCGGTAAGGACCGGTTATGGGACCGAAAACCGGGACCGGTTAAGGTTTTTGGTAGTTTTGTGGGACCGGGACCGACCGGGACCGGGACCGGTTATGGGACCGACTATGGACCGGCCCGGCCCGGCCCGAAAATTCAAATAATATTATAAATAAATGT